GAGCTGTGATATTATACATGGGCTGGTGAATTTGATTAAAAGAACTATGTTATAGACTCTTCAAGGAGAACTGGAGAGATGGCTCAGAAGTTAAGAGCACTTACAGCTCTTCCAGAGGACCAGAGTTCAGTTCCCGACATCTAAGTTGGGTGACTCACAGCAGCCTGTGACTCTAGCTTCAAGGGATCTGAGACCATCCTCTGAAATCACACCTACACTCACATTTGCATGACCACAGTCAGATATGCTCATACATACTGTTTTTAAAAAGGAGAAGAAAATTCTTCAAGGGAAGGAGGTGTTTGTATGGCTTGGTTTTGCTGCAGTTTAAGAGGACAGAAAGATTTTATCGGGGGAATAGTGATCATTGCGTCAGGCAGCCTCTGATCAGTAAGGAAGCAGTTGGAGTGTTCCAAAAGAGTGTTCATCAGTGTGTTGAGACAGGGTCAGGGGATGAAATGCGAAGTATGTAGCTAGAGGGTGGAGTCAGAGTAGAAGGGCCTATCAGAGGATGGGATGCCAGGTGTCTGTCTTACACTATGCAATAACATGGTTCCACTTAGCTCACTAGAGACCAGGTTGTTGAGAGTGGGGATGTGTATAGACGGAGTTTCAGTTTGAAACTACTAATTCTGGCATGTCACAGAGACCTCTGATAGTCATTTTAAGTAAGTAGTTGGGCACAGGTTTCTGGAATTTGGAGATGTTGAGTGTGCAGATCTGTAAAGGCAATCTGAAGCAATTGTGGTTACCCCTGAGGCTCCACTCCTCCTTCACACCCAGGGTGTATGTATCATTGCTGTCAGCCCCCAGTGGCAGTTCTGCTCTGTCTCAACCCTAATAAAGCTTGGAATGTCCTCTCCAAACTCCAGCTGGCCCCTTCTTTCTCTGAACCCCTCCCTGCAGGAGGGGTGTGTCAAGGCTCTTGGGGGATCCTTTTGTATTAGGCTGGTCCCAAGAAGAAAAACTGCATCTCCAAGTTAATGAAAAGCTCCTTTTGTGTCTCTTTAATTTGAGTCTCTCAGCCTAAATCTCAGAGGAGGTCCATGTACTGAATCCTGAGGGGGAAGGAGTGCTTTCTGTTTGTGGGCTAGTTCTCAAAGGTCAGGCAGCAAGCTTTAGTCATGCTGACGGGCTATGGCATTTCACAGAATGAGATTTTTTCCAGCTCAAGAGAATTTTAGAAATTTTCCAAAATGAGGCCTTTGTCTCCAAATCATAGTGATAATTATCTTACTGGCAAAGTCGAGATTTGCACTCAGATCTGACAGAAAGCCCGTTGTTAGGGCAGGGGAGATGACTCAATAGGACCCAAGTCTGAACCCCCAAACCCACATAAAAAGCCAGATGTGGTGACATGGGTCTGTCATCCCAGCTCCCTTACTGCAAGATGGTGAGTAGAGTTAGAGTAGAGATCTCGCCTCAAACACAAGGGGATGGAGGAGAAGCAAGACCAAATCCTGGAAGTTGGTGACTGGCTTCCACATCCATGATGTGGCACATGTATGCCTGCTCTCCCTGGCCCCCCCCATTTGTCTGTCTCTCTCATACATGTACAAACAAACAAACAAACAAACACATAATGACTTTAAAAAATGGCCCATTGCTTTTCCTCATAACAGAACCTCTGCACAGAAGTTCTAGCTCCTTGGTAGAGATTTTCCATGCTAAACACTATTCCTAACACATAGTATAACTGAATGTGGGGGTTGTGAAACATTTGGCAAGAGTAAAGGTTTCTGAATTCAAAACCAAACGTGTAATGAAGCTGAGCTGTTCTTGGCAGCATTCATTCCTGTTGAGTCCTGAGCCTTCACTGCTGCCGGGTTGTGAACACACAACACGTGAGCTTTGCACTGTGCATGTGGTCATGCCTTGCGTGCCAAGGAATGTTGCCTGAAATACTTCAGCTTGAGTAAGAGACTATCGTATGTTCCGGTTGCAGTGTTTTTACCGTACACACATGTCTTCTGCCTTCATGGAACATATTGGTTTAATTATGGAAAAGGAAAAAGACCTTTAATAGCTTGCTCTGATCATCTTCAGAACATATCAGATTGGCATATATTTAGAGTGTACTGTGCTAGAATGTTTGATTTTAAAAATTGCTATTTAAGTTGCTGACTTGAGTTTCATCTAAAAAAATTATTTAATGAGTGTTGGCCCCGAAATAGTCCTGAGCACACTTCTGTTCTGCACCATACACATATTTATTTGAAACAATATTTTCTGAATTGATTTTATACTCGATCCATTGATCAGCTCTGACAAATGTTGAAGACGCTTTGTGTACTGCAGGATCAAATACTCAGCCATGACTTAATTCTTTATGCATAAATAGCATAAATGTAAAAAAAAAGAAATAAAAGGGAAAGGACAGGATGGCTGCTAGGTCTGGTGGAGGAGAAAGCTTATTGTAGATGTGTGGGGGAGCCTAGCCAGAGTCAAGGACATTGGGAGAGTCCAGAGTGGACATGACTCTGAGCCATGGGATGAGGAGGGGGAGAAAGGGGAGGGGGGGAGAGATGAACCAGGTACAGCAGCCAGGAGGCCCAAAGAGTAAACGAAATAGCCAGGCAACAAAAATGGTTGGGTTAAATAGGGAAGGGCAGCTGGGAGAAGGGCAGTCCACCCCCTGGGCTAGAGAAATTTAGGTCATGGGAGTGGGGTATACCAGTCAGAAGAGCTGTGTAACAGGTAGGAATGGAGAGATTATAGGAGAACCTGGTAGCCAGGGCCGGGTCTGCTTTGATAGGTTCAATAAGTAGCTCAGCCATTTATCCTAGGTTGGAAACCTAACATCATCCATTCAATAACATGAAATTTTGCTTTAACAGTCAAATCACATGTATGCCAAAGAGCTGCTTTAAAGGAATGCTTTATGATTTAGTAAATGTCTCATTTTCCTACCTAGTTTATGCATGTGTATACCTGGATTCTTGTAAAGAAATCTAGAGCAAAGGGGGTTTGCTAGTGAAAAAAAAATTTTTTTTTCCCGAGATAGGGTTTATTGGCTAGTGAAAAGTTTTAAGCAGTCGTGGTATAACTGTTTTTGCTGAGAAGTTCTGGCTCCTCATTTGGGCTCACCGGGTAACAAAAAGATAAAATCCTGGTGTCTCTACCTTCACTGTGTATCTGCCTTTTCTTTGTGTCAGTCGTCTCTTTGCCTCTGCATGGAGACATACTCAATTGAGTATCTATCTAAAATCTGGTGATGCTTAACTCTTCTCAACCTTTCAAGGTTAAAATCACAAAGAAGCATCTTCTGTCAGCCATTGTCCTAAGCCTGCAGTCATCTGGAGGCAGAAGAACAGGACACAACATTAGCACAGGACAAATACCTGTTGGCAAGGAGGCAGGCTAAATCTGTCCCCTTTCTCTCTAAGGCTAACTAGAACTGGTCCACACACACAGAGGTGAAGGTGGCCTATGACTAATTATCATATCAAAAATACACTCCCTTGGGTAGAGCCTTGAGCTCACAGAGACCCGCCTGCTTCTGCCTCCTGAGTGTCTGGATTAGAGGTGTGATCATCTTTGTGCGGGAATCAAATGCACCAGTTGTGTGATGACAGTGACAATGACTTCTTTGAACACCTTAAAGAACTAGAATGAGGATGATGGTCAACCAGACTGAACCTGGAATAAGATTGCTAATTATACATTCCCCATCCCCTATTCCAATTTTTCCTTTTATTTAAACCTCAAGCCCAAGCCAGCAATCTTGGACACAGACTTAGTGTCACTGAGCCCCTATATCTGTACTTTTCTATGGAGTCACACTGACTGAATCTGCTTTCCCTGACTTTTATCATTACTCTTGATGGATTCCTGGCCAAATATAATCTCTTGTAACTTCTAGCCTTGGAGCTTCTGCCCTAAAACTCTAGTACCAATAGCCATGTTACAATGAATAAGGAAGCAACAATCATTCTATTGCTCAGTTTGTCCTTTCTTGGTTGAATAGCAGGGATGAGGTGGGGTGGGGCACAAAATGAGGGCCAGGCAGCACAATGTATCCAGGGTTTTCAAGCAGTGTTATCAGCAAGAACAAATGACCTTTGCAACCTCTGTCCCTCTGGTCATTTCATCAGATGGAAACAAGAACTATTATTGTCCATTCTGTACACAAATCCTAAAAACCACCTGGTGGAAAATACCAACTCTGGGCTGTTGTATATGAAATATGTTTCACACCTAGGTGTCTGATCTAATTTGAGCTAATTTTAGTAAAAGGCATAAGATCTGCGTCTAGATAATGTTTCTCCATATAGATATCCAATCATTTCAGTACCTTATTGGAAAGACAGTCTTTTTCCCCCTAAGATTCTTATATTCCTTTGTCAAAGGTCTGTTTGCTCTCGTTGTGTGGGTGTATGTCTGGGCTCCCTTAGCCATCAGACTATCTGTACATCCCTTTGCAAATACCATACTATGAGGTGGAAAACAGACAGTTCTTCAATGAGATACCCTTTCACAGTTGCCACAAGCATCCGCTTAGAATTAGAAGCCCCCAGGATGGTCGTGGGGTACATCAGTTGAGATGAGTTGATTTAGATCTATTTCTGCTGCAATTTCTCCAAGTCCAGGCTCTTGTCTTTCAAACTAGGAATCGGGGTGCTGGAGGCCATCTGTGAGTGTATCAGGTGACCTTTCTCTGAGAACTACTCAGCTTTACTCTGGGGGACTTCCCCTCTGGGGACTTCCCCTTCTCATACTTAATCCCTGTGTCTCAGTGGAGCCAGAGACAACTCCAGGCACCAATGGGGACTTTGCCCTTCAGTAGAGTTAGTTGTTCCAGACAACCTGTGTTTGTAAGACACCTGTGGACCCTCTACCCTGAAGGTAGACTGAAGAGTTTAGTGAACTTGGCCTGCGGCTGTCATATCACTCTCTTTTAGAAGTGACTGAAACCAGCACTTAAAGTAGAGGCAAGAGAGCCTAGAAATCCTAAATCCAGGTGACTCTTATTGAAACCAGAATCTACTTTCTTGGAACAGGCACTAGCTTGGAGTTTTTCTGTTAAGACCTGAATCCATGAGGCTAGCAACATGGCTCAGTAGTAAAGGTAAGTGCCACCAAGCCTGAGAATGTGAATTTGATTTCAGGAACCCACACAGTAGAAGGCCTGAATGGACTTCTACCAGTTGTCCTCTGACTTCCACCCATCTGCTGTAGTATGCTTATATACACAATCAATAAAACATGTTTTGCGGGATTTCTTTTTTGGTTGTTATTTTAAAGATGAACTGTAATATACTTGCATGGTTTGGGTTGCTCTTTCTGTTAGTTGTGTCATATATAGATTCAGTTGTCAACTTGATACACTGGAAGAGGGGACTCACTGAGGAATTGCCTCCATCTGATTAGCCTATGGGCATGTCTGCTAATTGATGTAGGAGGCTTCAGTCCACTAGGCAAGTAGACCCTAGCTATGTAGGAAATATAACTGAGAGATAACACAACCCTTAAGAGTACAGGCTGCCCTTCCAGAGAACCTGAGTTTGAGTCCTAACACCACATGGCCACTCATTACTATCAGTAACTCTCATCCCTGGGGATCTGGTGCTCTCTTCTGGTCTTCAAGGGCACCACATTCATTGTGGTGCTCAGACAATCATGCCAGGCAAAACACTCAAAGTAATACAATAATTTTGTGTAAAAGAAAGAAAAGTAACTGAATGTGAGTTTGGAAGTAAGCTACTCAGCTGTGTTTATCCTGTCTGCTTCAGTTCCTGCATCCAGGTTTCTGCCTTGAGCACCTACCTTGGTTACCTTTGATGATGACTATATATATACCCAGGAAGTTGAGAGAATGCTGTCCTCCCCTGTGTTGCTTTTGGTCAGTGTTTCATCAGAGCAACAGAAAGCAAACCAGAAAATGTAATCATGAGGTTCCTAATTTGCATAGGACGTTTCTCTTTCCACTGCTCTTTTATGAACAATATATATATATATATGTGTGTGTGTGTGTGTGTGTGTGCGCGTGCGTGCGTGCGTGCGTGCGTGCGTGCGTGCGTGCGTGCGTGTGTGTGTGTGTGTGTGTGTTGTGTATGGCCACCTAGGCAAAGTAGTTCAATGCTAGCAGATGATCTCTTTGAATGTAATGTGGACTAGGAAAGACATGCTTTATCCATATCATACATTGTACAGTTAGTAGATAGAGAAGACTATATGGCTTATGATTTTGTATCCAAATACCTTTCCATCTATTTACTACACTTTTGATCACATTTGAACCACTGTTGGATGTATCTTCTGGATATATAAAATTGATATATAAAATTGATATATAAAAATGATATATAAAATTGAATGTGTATGATGTTTTGCTTAAATGTATGTTTGTGTACCATATGAGTGCCTAGTACTTATGGAGGCCAGAAGACGGTATTGGACCCCCAGTACTGGAGTTACAAATGGTTGTTAGCTGCCATGTAGGTGTTTTGAATCAAACCCAGGTCCTCTGGAAGGGCTAGTGCTGCACTTCCTGTGATGAACCATCTCTTCAACCCCATATATACACATATGTATGTATGCCCATGTCCATGCAGGTGTATGAGCATGTGTTGTGTAGGTGTGTGGAGGCCAACCTTAGGTGTTCTTCCTTGAGTGCCATTCACTTATTTTTTTTTAAGACAGTATCTCACTGGCCAGAACTTGCCAAGTAGGGTAGTCTGGTTGGTCTGTGGCATGAAGCCTGGTGATGTCTCCACCTCCCCAGCTCTAGGACTATATGGATGTGCCACCACACCTGGAATTTTTATTCTGGGGGACAAACTCAGGTCCTCATGCTCACAAAGTAAACACTTTACTGGCGGAGCCCTCTTCCTATCCCCCATATATATATTAGAGCTGCATTATACAATGTGGTGGCTCCTACCCTCATAACCCAGGAAATTCAGCTCTCTCCATACTAGTCAAATTCAAGCTTATACTAGCTACACATGAATAGCAACTACTGTATTAGACATGGTAGAAACAGTTAATTCCCATCATCACTAAACTTATAGACAATATTTCTCTGAAGACCTTTCTTTGTGTGTTCAAAATTATGGTCAAAAAGCTTGATATAATCTTTCCTTTCTACCATGGCAAAGGAGATAAAATAAACAAGTGACAAACTGTGGACTGCCAGTCACTTGTGTTAATTTTGCTTTGCTATGGGAAACTATCCACGGTAAACAACATGAATGGAAGAATGATTTATTTTTGCTCATGATTCCATAGGTTTCTGTCTGTGGTTATTTGCCTTATTGCTTTGATTTGTGATATCAGAATATCATGGCTGGGAGCCACATGACGGCAGAGGTCTGTTTGCTTCATGGCAGCCAGTAAAGAAGAAAGAGAAACAGAGAGAGGGACAGACAGACAGACAGACAGAGACATACACACACACACACACACACACACACACACACAGAGAGAGAGAGAGAGGGGGGGGGATGAATATTCATTTGGGTCCCAGTGTACATATACCCTTCAAGATTCAAGGCCACACCCCCAGTAACTTACATCTTCTCATTATTTTGCATCACCTCCCAAGAGTTCCATCAGTCTGAAAACAAGCGTTTAACACACATGTTTACTGGGAACATCTAAGATCCAAGTCATGACAAGCACCTTTGATCATAGCACCCTAGAGGTGGCGGCAATGGGATCAAGTCTTCAAGGTCTTCTTCAGCTACTTGGCAAATTCAGTGCCATCCTGGGCTATGTGAGATCCTGTTTTAATTTCCTCCCACCTGTGAACAGAGATCCACACCTTAAGATCATCTATTAATTCCATATTCTCAGCTCTTCAGTGGAACTGATAGCCTAGCTACTCACCTCGGGATGGTAAATCTGAAACACGTCTTTGGTAAGGGATGATTAACTGGTTGTTAGATGAAGCCCCTTGAGCATATTATATAAGTAAATATAAAATATGCATCTCTCTCTCCTCTGCTCTGTGAATACATACATCTTGGGATTTAGCAGAACACGATGATTCATTCTCAGGCTGGCGATTCATTAAGAATGCATTTCTCAACGACAGTCTTACAGATCATCAGTCTTCAAGCAGGAACTATTTTCCTAGGCCTCTAGACCTATTTCCTTTTCAGCTTAAAGTGTTCTGAGAAAAAGATCTAAACATTTCAATTCTTTCAGGAAGTAAGCTCTCCGGCTGGAAATCTGTAGCAGATTTTCAAACTGGGAAATGATAACTATGGTGTGAAATAAAGCTTTTTTATTGGACAGAGCATACAAATGAAAGATTATATTGTCACCTATATACCACAGGTGAGTTGTTTTACCCCCCAAAAGCAACGACTTTGCTTTGCTTTGATGTATGTTGAATGAAAAGGGGAAACAACAAAAAAGATAAACAGATAACACACAGGACCCAGAGTGACAATTTCTTTTGGGATTGACATAAATAGCATGTATTGCAAACATAACCCCATTCACTTGTGTGAAATAACTGGGAGGAAAAAAACACACAATTTTCACAAAATTGGAAAAGGAAAAGGAAGGATTGGCTCTAGTGCTCCCTTGTCAGGTGGGTAATTTTGTATCAGGAGGTAGCCATGACGACCATAAAAGTTACTCACACGACTAACGATGCCACTAATGATGCCCACAATTACTTAATTGCAGGCATGCTTAACAGCTTTTGCCATTTTTGGAGGGTGCTTGTGGATAATTGTGGCTGCAAGCGGGTAAGTACAGGTGCAGTCAGGTGTGTTCCTAATTTTTACATTTGTGCTGACAGCGGGGGAATAAATGGTCCCCTCGAAAGCAGGGATCTACAGGAGGAAGGCTAAAATTAGTTCCTATAAGCCAAGTGATGATGGAACAGTCCCAAACATGAAAACAAACACAAGCCACTTTGTGTTTAAGCAAAGGTCTTCATCAGCAATGACTTGCCAGGTCCCAGCACCACCTGTGGCCCTCTCCTTTCCATCTAAGCATCTCCTACTTGAATTCCTGCTCCTTCCACTACCTGTGGAAGGGGACTTTTGCTGTTCACAACACACAACTTCTATTCCACCATGAAGTGAATACAATTTTGAATCTCTATGTGACACTCTTTGCATTTGCAAATGCTTTTGTTTCATGTTATGATACATATATGTTCAAATAAAGGTTAATACAGACAACAGGATAATTAGTTATCGTTAAAAATTCTCTCACTGGTAATTAAAACCCCAGAGATGGCTACATAACATTTTAAAACCTTCATCACACTCCTATATGAGAGTTTTAAACCAGTAGAAGAAATGTGAGAGGGGTGGTTTAAGTTTTAAAACATTTTATTTTGGTTGGGCGATGGTGGCCCACGTCTTTAATCCCAGCACTTGGGATGCAGAAGCAGGCAGATCTCTGTGAGTTTGAGGCCAGCCTGGTCTACAAAGCTACACAGAGAAACCCTGTCTCAGACAACAACAACAAACATTTTACTTTATGTATATGGGTGTGTTGTCTGCCTGTGTATCTGTGAACCACATGCATGCAGTGCCCACAGAGGCCAGCAGTGGGTGTTGGATCCCCTGGAACTAGAGTTACATGGTTGTGAGCTAACTTTTGAGTGCTGGGGATTGAGCCCAGGCCCTCGAAAGAGCAGTTAGTGCTCTTAACCACTGACTCACCTCTCCAGCCCTTAGATTGTTGAATGGCAAAGATGAGACTGTTTCAGTTTTGTGGGATATTTATACACTGTGTGAAAAATGTATTGCTGTGATTGGTGTAATAAAAAGCTGAAAGGTCAATAACTAGGCAGATAGACAGAGAACTCTGGGAAGAAGAAGGCAGAGTCACCAGCCAGATGGGGAAGAAGCAGCATAGGTAGTACAGAGAGATGAGGTAACCAGCCATGTGACAGAACATAGATTAAAATAAATGGGTTAATTTATGTTATAAGAGCTAATGGGACAAGCCTAAGCTAAGGCCGAGCTTTCATAATTAACGATAAGTCTCTGTGTCATTATTTGGGAGCTGGCTAGTGGGACATTTCAAGACATGGTTGACTAGAAAGATTAATTCTCCATTCTCCTTGCATAGCAGCCCAACAAACTCACAGGTCAGCCTTGGTATGAAAGCCCTGTGATTCTCTTGTTCAGTAAAGACCATGACTTGACCCTGTAGAAAGTGAGCTGATCTTACAATGCCCTTGTAATGCTCTTAGGTACTCTTTGTAATGCTTTTTCTATCACTTGCAGTGCCCAAAGCAGAGAATGTGTCTTCTCCAAGCCTCAAGAACCAGATGGAGGACGGTTATGGCTCCTGCTGGCTAGGAAACTTCTGTAGCTTTGGCTGAATTTTGTGAAAAATCCACCTGATATGGAAGTTATGTGCCACTGTGTGCATTTGGAGGTTAGAAGATGACTTTGGGGAGTCAAATTCACCTTTCACCTTGTTAAAGCAGGGTCTCTATTTCTGCTGTACTATATACTCAAGACTGACTGGCCCTCGAGCTTCTGGGCCATTCTCCTATCCCTGCCTCCCATCTGTCTAGCATTGCTGGGATTACAGATGCACACTGATGCATGTGGCTTTCTGTGTCAGTTCCAGGGACTGAACTCAGGTTCTTAGACTTGTTTGGTCAATGTTTTTACCCACTGAGGCATATTTCCAGTCCTGATCCTACCTCTCTCTTAGTGCCACCAGATTGGGGATCAAATTTACATGCATGAATGCTGGTAGGGGACACAAAACTGAGACTGTAGTGAGTAGATACAAAGGGGAAATGTAGAAGTCACTTCATGGAGAAATAGAAGCATTTCTAGGAACAACAAACTGCCTCTACCAAAAGGACTGTTGTCCTTTAAGGTACTCACTCACATTTGCCTGGCCTCTGACCCACTGAGCCTTTCCCAAGTGCTGCACGTCACCTTTTTCTTGTCCCATGAGATATGCTGCTTATGTTCAAGCTATTCTATATTCCACAGATAGTATTATGTAGTTCATCATGTGTTTTAGACACTGTCTGGGCATCGTGGTGATTCAGTCAGTTGAACTGGATAGTTTGTTCATTCAAGGAATGATTTCCTCTGAGGAAGCCATATGCTCTAATTGTCTACACTTTTTGTTAGGGGCTTGAGGTACAAGATTTATCTACAGCCAAGTGACAGGACTGCAAGGACTTACAAGTAATGAGGTTGAGAAAGTGTTGGTCACCAGAACCCTCTGAGGAGGAGTGCTCGTTTGATTAGATGAAATACTTTAAAACGACATTTGGGGTGGAAGGTGAAGTCCCAAAGGCTTTCTCCATCATGACAGTATATCTGTTAAATTGCTTTGCATGAGAGAGGAGAGGAGCTCTATGGCTCTTGGATAAAGAGGTAGGAAGGCAGAGAGATGGAAGGGGGAAAGACCTACCATATGCTATGGTAGAATGATGACAGTTGCTCAGTGCAACCCTTCATAGCAGAGCTATATCGCTGATAAAATATGCTGAACTCATTGATCTTTAAAAGGAAGATTTAGATAAACTGACTTTGAAAAATACTTGTTATTAAAATTGTTTGTTTATGATTTAAAAAAATAACAAAAATATGCTGAACTAATGACATGTTTAAAATGTATGATTGTCTTGTGGATATCAGTCAGGAGCTTGAGTTTGGTATCTGGACTAAAGCTGAACCCTTCAATGTCTCCTTCTCCCTCCATCTCTTTCTTTCCCTCCCCTGTATTCTTTTGTTTCCTCCCTCCTTTCCTCCTCTATTCAAGTATCCTACACTGTAGCAGAGAGCAGCATGGGAGACCTGGCAGGCAGAGGTACCAGCGAGCTTGAAGAGATTGGGTGTGGTACCCAGACATTGCAGCCATAGCTCAGAGGATGGTTAAACAGTGGACTTGAACAGCTTACAAAGGCTGGAAGAAGACAACACTGTCCAAGCAAATAATCTCCATCCAGACTGTTTTCCTGTCTTGTGGGATTTGAGTGGGAAAAAGTGAGAGGTTTGAAAATGTCTTAGAGTTCATAATGTGCCTGGCCCAGTTCTGGGGATTCCAAGGAGATAAAGATGCTGTTACTCACCCTGAGACAGTGACTGTTCGAACACAGTAACAAAACTATGGCGACAGGAGAAAGCATCTGAAAGACATGGTACCAAAAGATGTATTCAGAAGATGCAAGGAGTTGCAAGGATGTGTAAAGAAGATTTCTTTTTGGCAGAGGAGTAAAGCAGCGGAGGTGAAGGATTAAAGGCGGAGGGGAACTGAAGCAGAGCAGCCATTCTCAGGGATTAAAATGGCTTTGTTAATCACTTGAGGACTCTGAACTTTACCTGAAGGGGTGGGGAAACTATGGGATAATTTAAAGCTGGTGAAAATTATGAAAATTATTTCCTTGTAAAGACCTCCCTGAGGGTTGGGAAGATGGCTCAGGAGGTAACACTTGTTGTGCAAGCCTGATGACCCCAGTTAGACCTCTGAAACTGATGTAAAAATGAGATGCAGCTATGTGTGTCTGTAATCTATCACTCTTACAGTGAAATGGGATGTGAAGACAATAGAATAAGCTGGAAATAGTGAGCAGGCCAGCTAGCCTGGAGTATGCAACATGACAAAAACAAGTAAAACTATGCCTCAGTGAGGTGAAGGTCAGAATAGACTCCCCCAAATTGTCTTCTCATCTGTACTTGTGCTGTGTGGTACACTCACAGCGTACACACACCCTACACACTGACACACACACACACACACACACACACACACACACACACACACACACACTAAATATCAATTTAAAAATGACCTTCCTGATTTACGTGCCACTCTCTTTGAGCTCTCAAAGTATTCGTTTGTCCGTGTCATATTTGTTTCCGTCTCCGGTTGCAGTTGTCACTACTTCATTAAAATCTTTTGGGAAGACCGGTTATTTTATTTCTGCATGATTAGCGCATTTTGTGCAGTCTGGGAATCATAGAAGCTATTTGGTAGATTTATAAATTTTTTGAGAAATGAACAATTGGAAGGAGAAAGAGAGAGTGAGAACTACAGAGAGAAGGGGAGGAGGAAGAGAAAGTAGTGCTGCAGTTCTGACGGAAGGTAGTGAAAGCCTGAATGAGGACATAAGGATAATTGGGACTGAGAGGCAGGGTGTTAACTAGAGACATTCATAAACGGGGTCCTTTGGGCTTTGTGACTGACAAGGTGGTTGAAAGAGGGGTTAGTGAGGAAGACTAACTTTGGTTTTTTACTTTGGTGACTTGGAGTAGAGAGACATAAAATCAGAGGAGTAGGTTTGTTTTGAGAGGATAGGGAGACTATTGTTCCATGAGTCTCTATAGTCAATGCATCATCTGGAAGCAACACATAGAAGACTACTTTTGGGGTAGCTCATGTTCTCTAACAAGGAGACCACAGGCTAGAGGAAATAAGCACACAGATGGTCTTTGAAGATTTGAGGGTGGATATAATTCCACAGACAGAAGACAAGAGGAAGGGTGATAAAATCATGGTAAATGTTTAACATTTGGAAGAAGAACAAACAAAGTTGCCCTTGAAGGCAGAGTTGGTGCCATAGAAGGAAAGAAATTGGAAGAGAGAAAATCATTATAGATATCATAATGGAATACTTACACTTGGTGTCACATTTGGATGCTCTTCTGTCTTTCCCTGCCCGTTGTAGTTAAGCGGTACATGTGACTAATTCTGCCGAATGGCCATGAAGTAGAAGTGACAAGCGAGTGTTCCTTCTGGGCTGAAGCTGTTAAGAGCTGGCAAAGTGAGACTTTAGCACTGTGAAATTCTATTTGTGACCTGATGGAGCCAAGATGGAAACAGCCTGGGCAAGAGTCTCATGGTCACGGAAGCCAGAGCAACCAGTTTTGTAGGAGTGAGAAATGAGCTTTTGCTGTGTTAAGTCACTGAAATTTGAGAGTTAATTTGTTTCTGCCCCAAGCCAGCATATCCAAGGAGTTGGACTTCAAGAAGTGGGTAGATACAAAGTAAAAGTGACCAGGTAGAATAAAAAAGTGACTAGTGGATTTAAAAAAAATCAGGAGACAAGTAGTGTAGCGGAAGTGACACTTACTATGAGAAATCAAGGCTGTGGTGAGGAATGGGGAATTATGAACACAGGTGCGGCCCCCAGGGCTTCAGGTAAAGAAGTGAGAGGAAAGCAGAGGCAAGAGAACACATGGTGAAGTTCCTCAGGGAAGATTATGGATTTGAGCCGGGAGGGAGAAGAACAAAAAGAGAATTAAAAACATAGGAAAGAGCTTAATCCCAGCACTCAGGAGGCACAGGCAAGTGAATCTGAGTTGGAGGCCAGCTTGTTCTACAGAGCTAGTGCCAGGACAGCCAGGGCTACAGAGAGAAACCCTGTCTCAAAAAACAAACAAACAAACAAAAAACCATAGGAAAGGAAGGAGATAACAGAAAGGGTGAGGTCTCTAAAAACATCATGACTATGAGTTCATTAGGACTGAGACATCTGCAGAAAATTTGCTTCTCTTTGTGACACCAACTAACAATCTAAGCAATAGAGGAGAGGCTACCTTAATGAGCCTCCCCTGATAATAAAATTAATGACTAACTTATATGAATCCAGGAAAAGTAACAAATCCAGGAAAATAACAAAGCAGACACCCACAGCTAAACCTTGAACTGAACTGAAATCCAGTTGCAGTGAAGGAGGACTGATGAGCAAAGGGGTCCATACCAGGCAGGTGAAACCCACAGAAACAGCTGACCTGAACAAGGGAGAGCTCTTCATTCCCAGACTGATAGCTGGGAAACCAGCATGGGACTGATCCAGACCCCCTGAATGTGGGTGTCAATGAGGAGACCTTGGAAATCTATGGGGGCCCTTGTAGTAGATCGGCACTCAACCCTAGTATAGAAATAGACTTTGGGAGCCCATCCCACATGGAGGGATACTCGCTGAGCCTAGACACAGGTGGTGGGTCTAGGCCCTTCCCAAAGGATATGACAGACTCTGAAGACCCCCTATGGAAGGCCTTACCCTCCCTGAGAGCAGAAAGGGTATGGGATAGGTAGGGTGTTAGTTTGGGGGCGTGGCAAAGGAGAAGGGGAGGGAGAGGGACCTGGGATTGACATGTAAAATAATTTTCTTTCTAATTAAAATAAAAAAAATTTAAAAATAAAAAAAAGAAAATTCACTTCTCCATCTCCTATCCCATCAAGGGTCTTGCTTCTCATTCTGAACTAGGATGCTAGGAAGCCCCTTAGTTGGACTTCTCACTGGACAATAAACTGCATGGATAACCATGCTTGGCAAATTGCCATGACTCAAAATGTGAATATACCCTGGGTTTACCCCAGGGCACTGTCCCTTTCGTGGTTGACTGCTTAGGTAATTGAGTGAGAAGCATTCTTCTGGAATCAAACTACCAGAGTAAGTTAGACCAAACTGTGTTCTCTCCATATTCACACATTAAAGTCCTAATTTCCAGAGTCCTAGAATGCAAACATGTTTGGAGACAGGGTCTTAAAAGGGGTAATTGGATGAAGTCATGGAGGTAAACTATCCATTTTGCCTCATGTTCTCTCTGCCCATCTGTGCTCCTTGAATCTTCCTGTCTCTTATCAATACCATCAGCATTTTGACTTTCCTGGGGACATCATGGTAATGTTCAAGTCCTTCAAGCCTTGCAGGGAGGAAACATGCTGAGAAAACTTTTGTTGTCTTGGTCAAGGGTGCTAAGTCAGAGCCCTGCCTGTATTACTGGTAGCGAAGATGACACACGACTTTCAGATGGAGGGGAGACAACTCCCCCCCATATGAAGTAGAAAACCAGCTGGACTATTTCCTTTCTGACCTACTCTGAACCCTGTGATCTGAAGTTCTTTGGAAATTCTGCAGACTGATTAATTATTTAGAACTTCCTGATGTGTGGAGTTGGAACATTGTGGATAGAGAGCCAAGAATTATCACAGGCTATCTTTAGTCCCCCTTCTGATGATCACTTATGACAAATGTCTGTTACTGACCTAACATGCTTTTTCATGTTCAGGTAAAACCTTTTCCAATGTATTGATTTGCATATCCTTGGCTTCCACCAACTTAAAGACCAAGAATATCATCAGATGGCATCGGAAGCTACTAGCAGAGGCTTCCCTGTTTCGCTGTAACCCTCCTGCTGCCCCCAGCAGTGCTCTGACAAACGCAATGATTTTACCACTGTCTTTGTTCTATGATTGCTCAAATTCCCGTAACCACTTCCATGGTGGAACATGCCATTCAGAACAACGTGTCTGCATTCCCAGGCCATGGTCACATGTATTTGGCTCAGGAAAAATGACCTCTTATTTCCTTTGCTGTGAAAGCAGTGTTTTACACTGACCACTGACAGAGATACAATTTCCTTTCCTCTCCCTGCCTTTTTTTTTTTTTTTTTTTTTTTTTTTTTTTTTTTTTTTTAAAGCTGTACTAGAGATTAAACCTAGGGCATCATGTATCCGAGGCAGGTGCTCCATCACTGGGCTATAGCTGTAGGTCTAGAGGTCTGATTTCCAAATACAGATTGGGGCTGGTGATATGAATTAATGGGTGAAGACATCTGCTGTCAAGCCTGATGATCTGAATTTGATATCTAGGACCCACTGGGTAGCAGAGAACAGATTCCTGCAAATTGTCCTCTTACCTACACATGTGTGCTGTGGCACATCCTACTCCCTCCACAAAATGTGCAAAGTAAATAAATAAATTAAAAAATAAGTACAAATCAGTTCTCAAAATTTAATGCTTGAGGCTTGAAGTTCGGCCATCATAAGTAAACACTGTGAAATGTTGGGGTCCCTTAGACACTGGTTAACAAATGGTTTCCATGTCAATAATTTGCTTATTCATTTATTACTTACACAAACATGGAGTCCATGACCTAATTCTGAGCCATTTTTATTGATCGGATGTATAGAAAAGAATGTTACCTGCCTTTGAAACCAAATTTTGTCTGTTTAGAATTTTTAAATTGCATTTTATTTATTTATTTTGTTTGTGTGACAGAGACCAGTATGGAAGTCAGAGGACAGTTGGAAGGAGTTGGTGTTCTGCTCCACCCCCTTATCTCATTCCCCCTCCCTCTCCTCCAAAGATTCAACGATGTTTACAGAGTATCTATTTATATTTTATTTAAAATTTTTTCACAGGGCAGTGGTGGTGCATGCCTTTAATCCCAGAACTTGGGAGGCAGAAGCAGGTGGAGCTCTGTGAGTTCAAGGCCAGCCTGGTCTACAGAGAGTTCAAGGCTTTCAAAACCTTGTCTCTAAAAAAAACCAAAATAAATAAATAAAATGTTTTCATTAACTCATTTTATGTTGTTGAATAAGATTCAACAATGTTTACAGAGCATCTGTTTCTATTTTATTTAAAACTCTTTTCATTAACTCATTTTGTGTTGTTGAATCCCAAGAAGAGCAAATTTCATTGATTGCCTCATGTCATATCTGTTTGGATCACCTACAAATTTACTCATAGCTACAGAAGGCCATCCTATTTCCTACCTGGCATGCCTGTGATTCTCTGCTTCTTTTCTTTTGAGATTTTGTTTGTTTGTTTATTGTTTTCCCATTCCAGACATTATGGAGGTGTTGGAGACTTTAGAAGGAGCAACTGTTAACTGCTGAGCAATGAGAATTACTGGGTAAACATCACAACTTCCCAAGATTTAGTGGGACAATTTTAGGGTGTGTTCTACTCTGTCCTTTAGAGTGCTTACTGCAGGAAACACCCAAGGTGGGCTTTTGTGAGACCAAAACAGGAAAAACTTATCTTGCAGGTTAATGGTTCTGTTTGCAGTTAAGACAGTGAGGAAAAGTTCCTGTTTGTCCTGCATTTGTTTGACCCATCTGTACCATATGTGCTTGATCAAATGTGGACAGGATGTACGTAGGTGGGAAGTATGTCCGGATGTATG